TGTCCCCCGGGGACCCAGTCACAAGCAGTGACCAAGAGCCTTACGGAACACTCTTGGCAGTGGCTCCAGCCCAACAAATGGACAGGGGGACAGGTGGCCAAACAAGTGGTGCTGGAACAATTTATGCAGGTTCTCCCAACTGCGGAGGTGAGAGTGGATGCTACAACATCGGCCTGAGACGTTGGCTGAGGCAATCAGGCTGGCAGAAAATTACTTAGCAGCTGCAGGCCTGAGAGTGGGGCCACTCAAGACCAAAGATGCTCACCCCAGCTGACCACTGACAGCAGACCTTCCAGCCTACTGAGGGGGCAACTCATTGGGGAACTGCATACCAGGTCTGGCTCCCCCAGCCAGTCCATGGCTACAACAAAGCCCTGGAAGACTGGTTCCAAGGTGAAGAAAGGATGAGAGGAGAGACCAGTCCCGCAGTGGTTTGAGCATTGGCCTGCTAAACCCAGGGTTGTGAGTTCAATCCTTAAGGGGGCCATTTAGGGATCTGGGGCAAAAATCTGTCTGGGGATTGGTCCTGCTTTGAGCAGGGGGTTGGACTAGATGACCTCCTGAGGTCCCTTCCAACCCTGATAAGCTATGATTCTATGAAATACCTGCCACAAGAATCCCACCTCCCCTGTGCAGTCAGGGGTGGAAAAAAACCCTCAACTCGGACTTACTTTTTTGTGCTAGCAACAGGTCATTTCTGCTGTGACTGCTCCTTCATGGATTGCTCCTCTGGGCAGGCATGGATGGCAGACACCTGGGCTAGAAAAAGAGGCCTGGCCAAGAATCTAGTCCCCATGTGGATCATTGGGGTAGAAGTGACAGCCCTAATAGAGTTGGGGTGCAGCCAAACACTGATCTGAGGACAACTAGCAGGACCCAGAGATAACCTGGGAGAAACCTTCTACCTCTAGTGCATGCACAGCAATGTAGGCCTATATCCCACAAGGGAGTTACAGCTCACTGTAGGAAGCTGCATGAGAAACATACCGTCAAGCATGGTCCCCACTCTGGCCTACCCAGTGATTTTGGGTTAGATGTTCAATTTTCTTGAACCAGATTTTTACTCAACTGCAAGTACATTATAAAGTGCAACACTTGAATTTACTGTATCAGGAAACTGACTATAAAAAGGTTTCACCAAAATGGATATGTCCCCCAAGTTTATCTAAAACAGAGGTGCACTGTTAGCTGTTGAAAATTTGTTTTTCATTACTTAAAGTTTTATATATAGTCCATGTCTGTCGTATATCAGATTTTGAAAGCAACTGTTCTGTGGACTTCAATGGCGATGATAAAGTATGGAAATGTGGGCAGTTAACAGTACAGTGATGTCATAAAGACTCAGGCACGTTCTCTCTGGCAAGAATAATCTACTGATGCTAAGAACTCATCAGGCTTGGGTTGGGCATAACTAGATGGGCTTAAATTTAGATCAGAGGGAAAGCTGGCAATTATCATGTTCTTTAACTATAAGCAGCTGAACAGGACACAGGTAGCCACAAACTTTTCAAACAGCAATACAATCATTTCAGAAAGTCTAATAATCTAGAAGTCTTTCTTTTTGCAACATTTAGTTAAACCTGTCTAAATATTGAGGGAAAAAATATTTTATAACATCTTAGAATGACATTAGCATTAAAACAATACTGTAGAAATGAACTCTTTACACAGAAGCACTACAGAATCTTGGATCACTACTTTGGCTATTCATACTACAGTAGTTTTTGCAAGTAATAGCACTAGACGTCTTTTACCATTTTGATGTACAGGAAATCTTAGAGCTGTAACACATTTTCAAGAATAAAAGAAAGCTGGCATTTGAATTTGTGAATGCTGTAGAACCCATTTGTATTGAACTTTAATATCTGTTAATAGTGACATTGAATGAAAGTCCTGAATTGTTTCAACATGTTGTAATGTTCAAATTTCAGCCTCATTATGGGCATCATCCTGTGGCCATTCACGGTTACTGGAATCTTCCCATTGGCTTCCATTGGTGAAGAATTAGACCTTATGAGGATGTCTACAGTCATACTTTTTCTAATGTGATCTGTGCATCCTTTGTTGATGTTGTTGTTTGAATTGTCTTTGGAAAGATGCAGGGTTTCAGTAGCATTGAAGCTGACCCTTTGAAAAGCAGCATAACACTTATTTTACTCAGTATGGTAGGATTTAATAGCCATTGTTAAATAGCACATGTTGTAACAACATCAGTACTTCCTTCACAAAAGCAGGATTTATTCCAGGCCTTTATTGGGAAAACTGTGTCTGTAATGCAGCTTTCCTTAAGATTTGGTCAATTTTTTTCCCACCTGGATACATTGTCTCTGTTTTGAAAGCGACTTTCCTATACTTTCCACCTGTAACCGGAATCTTCTCTCTGGAAACACTTTAATATATTTAGAAAAGACTATAAACACATTGCAATATCATACACACATGGGTTTGTGGCGCTCCAGCCCAGCAATAGCAATTATGCTATATGCTCACCTTGATTTTAAGGCTCTCTGTTATAACTCTCTCTGTGTGCCTTAAAGCTAAGGCTTACTTCTTGCCTTACAGCAAAGTAAAATTCTATTTAACTACATGTTTTAACTTAGGTGTTATAAACAATAAGAGCAATCTTAGATTTTTCCAAAACAACACAATCCTCAAGAATCAGTCTATATAACTAGGTTTATTCAGTTAAATTTTGTATTTAAAATTACTTGTTTGAATTCATATTGCAATATTTTATTAACCTTTATCACTGTATGTTTAGTAAAGAAAATACACACAAAATTTCACTTATACAATCGTAGTATTTACAAGAGTTAATATTGCAAAAAAAAGATTTAAAGACATCTTCCAATATTTAACACTGGAGACTAAATGATAATTATAACAGATGTTCTAAGTGGTACATAGTAATATAATTTCATTAAAACTTCTATGCAGGATAAAGCAATCTGCAGATTAACAAACCTCAGCAGATGAAGCTAACATTAGCTTGCACTGATTCAAATACCACCTTTGCAATACTCTTATTGATTATATTAAACATACCATGAAAGGAGTGAAAACTGAACAGTACTCTAAGAACAGACAGTGGGGCATGGGAGAGTGGGGGCATTTCAGCGAAGTAGACTTCTTTGGCAATTCTGCATAGAACAATTAAAGCCTGTAAACTGCTCTTCTTTGTGTGCTTAACACATGCCGACACAGTGGTTCCATGCATGGATAAGAGCAGTGCATGGTTTTAGATACAGAGGCGTGAAACACAGGAGCCAAGACTGGAGATGGAGAGGCTTGGAAAGTGTAACCATGGTTAGCGGGGAGGAGGGGGAAAGCTAGAAGAAGTGGTGTATTTCTGCATGCCATAAGGGCAGCACAACTTACACCATGTACTGCTCTGTTTGTCTTGGCAGATCTGTGTGCGTGGATCTGGCTGTGGGCGTGATTCTGCCAAATATGGTCAGTGTTTAACCTACACCCATGTATAGGTCTCTAGTTATGCGTTTTGTCTACCATTTGCCTCTTTCTGCCAGGCCAATACAGCTCTGGCTTCCTTGCCATTTTTTTACTGGACATAAGCTATAGTAAATGAGAAAGCATTATGTGACACATACCAAATATTTAGCTGAAAGTGCAGGATCCAAACCACTTAGTCAAAATTTATCTGAGCCAGAAAGAAATATACTGTGTAACTAATATATAATATTTGAATGATTTCTCAGAACCTTTTAGTGACAGTTCCAGTCACAAATTTAGATTAGCAAAACTATATATAGTTACCTAACAATATGGACTGCAACATTTTGCACTTTGGATTGCCAACCTTTCATGTATATGGTATGGAATGCCTCTGAGTGACGTTAAAAGTGTGTCATTAGCTGGCTCTTTGGCTTTGACATGCCACTGTGGCATCCTTTCCATGACCTACCCCTAGCGTGTGATATGCTTTTCATTTCACTTCGAGGCATGCCAAATGTTACAGAACATTGCAGTCCCCTTTCACGCTTTTATAAGCAATTCACATCCACTTGTTTTCTCTCATACTTCTGATGATGAAACCATTAAATGAATGTTTAATTTACATTATTAACTTTTGTTAATTCATACTTGTAATGACTTATTAAATGAAGATTAAAATCAATATTTCATCTGTCACAGATGTTAACAGCGATGTGGATGGGTGCAATTGATTCATTGTTCTATGGACACATACTTACAGAGATTGTCATAATTCCACGTGTCTCTAAGTGCTGGATTTTACACAAAATCTCTCAGTTATGTCAAAGATGGGTAAAATCACAAGCAGGAAGAGAGCTCCCTATTTACTATGCATCTGAGGAGGTTCCTATAAGTTGTTTATTACAGCAAGCACTATGCATATTGTATATTTTGCACCCATAAAAAATAGCACAGTTACACTCATGCTGGTTGGAATATCGAAATAGCGAATATGCTGAACTTCAACCTCCAACTTCTTGGGAAGCCACAACCTTTGGAGGGGATAATTGGTACATGGGGTCTCTGGATGGGTGGAGATGTCTTACTTCACTTTTGAGGGTACAGAGAGTGCTGTAGCACAAGTAGCCCCTCAAATGCATAGGTTGTTTCACTTTCTGGGGCTAAATGTGCAGATCTCAGTCCAGAATCAAAATCTAATTGTTTAAGCATCCTGTTGAATGTATAGTCTCCTTTTCCTTGCATTGTTTATCCCACCATCTGTTGTACTGTATGTGTACCCTTCCCTATTTTCTCTTCTCCCAACTATGCCGTCGTTTTGTACCACCGCCTGATAAAATCCTTACAAAGTTTTACAGTGTTTCTTGCCTTTATGCTCCTTTGTCTGGAATGTATTTTAATGACCCCCTCCCTCCTCTCCCCTCTCCTCCCCTTCCCCCTTTTAAATTTTATTTTGCTGCCTACTTTGTGGGCAGACCCTGTTGTATTTCACCATTTTATTCTGGTGTGTTTTCTTCTTCTAGTCAAGCAGTTTTCTGTTCTTCTCTTAGAATTACACTTTATGACTACCAGGCCATGTGTAGAACAAACAAAGAGAGTAGCGACAGTGCCCATAGCTTACTGGACGTAAGTATAGTTAACATTATGAGCACCCTTCCATAAAATCACCAGAAAATTGTTGCAAATATATATATACATATGATGTAATATTTTGATTGTAGTTATCACAAGCCTATTATTGCTATTTGGAACTATTAAAGCTCTTACATTTATCGTACCATCCCATCCCATATGAACAATGGTTCTATATCAATAAATCCACTGTGTTAAGTATTTATGGGTCCAAACTCTTGTACGGTAGCTTTTTCCACTAGCACTACTAATGCTAAGAGTCTGTCAGCATGTTATTTGTCCCATTATGAACACCTACTCTCATAACTTTCTAAATTAACTATAAACATTTGCTTTAGGCAAAGATCTGGAATTTTTAAATATATAATTTGTTAAAAAAAAAGGTTTGGGAGGTTTTAATTATAGGGTGGTTGGTTTTGTTAAAGCCTTCAAGTTAATGTTTTCTGCACCTTGTTTTGCACTTCTGCAGTGAACGGAACAACAGATTGATTTTTTCTAAAGTGGAATTTCACTGACCACTTAAACCTTGTTCCTGTAACTAGCTCTGCATACAGACCCCTGTGCCTTCTCAGAACCCAAGTGAAGTCAAATGTGTTCCACCTGAGCAGACCCCTGGTCATTAAAGGATCAGAGCTGCAGTTAATAATTTTAGGGTGTTTTATAATACAAAATATTCATAGGGTTTTTTTTAAAGCCAGAATGGACCATTAGATTGGATGTATATAGTTGAATCATCTCATTAATATTACAAAATGAATTGTTTTTAACCAAATTTGTTAGTATTTAGCATGAAAAATGTGTATATAAAGGCTGCAACAAAATAATTCCAAAACTGAAGGGCCCTATTCACTGATATCATAGACTCTAGAAAAAGTTATTACACAGATTTTTTTTAAAATGGACCTGAGTACAGCTATACAAGCTAAACCTAATAGTTCTGTCAGCATAATTACTTAAACGGCTAGGTAAATATATAAATATTATGGTGATTTCCAAATATCTGTGTATAACTTTTATGCCCTGTTGAATAATCATATGCATTTTACAACATTTTCATTTATGTATTTGCATGAGCCCAAATATTTTTAAATACCTGAAAATATGGAATTGCTTTACACATCAGCCTAAGCATTTCCAAGCAAAGGCCTGACCTTAGGGACACTTACTGTCATAATGGGACTATATAGCACTATGCAAAGCAGTAAGTGTTTTCAGGATCAAGTTGTAAGCTCTCAGCTAAATGATATGGAATGTTCTGAATCAGATTTAGATGAGAGATATAAAATGTCTGTAAAGTAACAGCAATGGGAAAACATCAAAAAGGTTTTTTGGAGGGAGGCAGGGGTCAGTTCAGTCTGGATCAGCATCCCAGAATGGTGAGCTGTACTATCCTAACCTCTTTGGTATGCAAAAATTATATCCCAAAGGCAGGCATTTTTTCAAGAGATAGTCATTACTCCCTATTTCTGGTCACACTGGGAATACTGGAAGAAAAACCTTTCTTGGAAAATTGTGGCATATACTGAGACATGTGGTGAACATTTTCTATCAAAGATAACCATTTTTTTTGGACTCTCAAAAGAGATTTACATCTATTTCACTTTGAAGGATGGGCAAAGCTTCACTTAGAGTTTATTTTATCTCTGCTGGTTCACCCATCTCTAATTATCATGATTGTAATGAAAGTGTAAAAAAAATGCAGGCTGAGAAGTTAGGGCCAGATTTTAAAAAGCAGCTCATTTGTGTCTTGGCCCACAGCTTTGCACATGCAAATCGCCTATTAGGCACCTTACAGTACAATTTGCACATACACATACTGTTCATGTTCACATATGTGCTATATTCCCACCTCAGAATTACATGTGTACAACTGCAAGCACAAGTAAGGCTTGAGGCCCTGTTGAAAGTTTAGGACTGTGTGCGCCTTTTCATATTTTAAATAGCGCAGAAGTGGAACACATGCATCACAATATGCACAAGTCTTAAAGAGACAGTGTTCCACCATATCATCCGCTCAGGACAAGTGACTGTGCAAAGCAGGAGATGGGGCACAGTCAGGATTTGTAGAATATGCCTGTAGACCATGGGATTAAAATAATAGAGGTTAGAAATGGACAAGAGACGTATAGATCATCCACTTAATTTTAAAAGTCCCAAGTAATGAGATTTTTGGCCCTTCCCTTGTAGGACTATTCCACAGCCAAATAGGTCTCATAATAAAGAAGTTTTTTCCTGATATTCAGCCTGATTTTTCCTTATCTTAATTTCACCCACTAACTTAAAATTATACCTCCATGAGCCAAACTAATAAACCAGTGTTAACAAGGGACCTGTGCAAGGATAAGGGCCACCCAGGTGGATCCCTTCGCAAGATCATGACATTAAATGATTCCTCTCCCTCTTTGGTGTTAGGATCTTTCATCTATAGATAGATATAGATATAGATAGGCAGTCAGTACAGCTGGTTTAAAAAAATGTCAGAACAAGTTTTCCATCAGAAAATGCAGTTTCGTCAAAATCAAACATTTCATGGGAAAGTGTCAATTGCCATGACATTTTCACCAGGAAAACATCTAAATGAATAACTTCGCCTTTCTTGTTTCATTTTGATGATATGGCAAAATTTCAATAGCATCAAAATATTTCAATTCAGAACTTTTGAAACATTGTTTTGATAATGTTGGAACATTTTAATTATTTTTTTTATATTAGGTTAAATAATATTGTATTTATTTTTATATTGTTTTGACATTATCAACATGAAGTGATTCAACATTATGGAAAAAAATCAATTTTTCAGAATAAAGGATTTTCAGATTATTTTTTGTGTGTGAAACTACGGAATGTTCCAATTTTGAATTAAAACAATTTTTGAACTGTCTGAATTTCCCACTGAATGGAAATTTCATTTTCTGACCAGCTCCCCTTTGGTCATCACTTAGCTCTTTAGTTCATTTATTTTTTCCTATAAATCAGTCCTTCATAGGTCAAGATCATGTTGGTCTCAGGTTATATTTAAAGTCCTTGCTAGTTCTGCACCACTTCAGCATCCCATTCTAGCAGTGATGTCACATACACTATACTGCAGTTGGCTGTGGGTTGACCAGCCATGTGCCAAAACCCCCTCTGTGGTCTCTGAAAGGTTCAGTTGGGAAGTTACTGCTGCTCAAACTGCAATAACTCATGTAAATTGTATCTTAAATTCCCCTTCCCTAAGAGAGGAAATGCTGTATATAGCATCCTCTGTGTGATGAGGGTTGTTCTGTTTCTCTCTGCACAGCATATACCTAGGGGAGAACATGACCCCGAGCTCTTAAAAAATGGCATTGTTTAGTTAAACATCCTCCTCACCTGCCAGAAATCAGAAATAAAACAGTTTAAGCTGACATTCCATTCCTTTTCCATTGCGCCTAGGTATTCCAGATGTTACTGCAATGGGGACCTTAGTAAGGTGCTGATTCAGCAAGGTTCTTAAGCATATGCATGACTTCAAGCATCTGAGTAGTTCCATTATAGTCAATGGGACTATGCATATGCTCAAAGTTATGCCTTGATGCTTTGTCATCTAAAAAAAGAACTCAGAACATCTTACAGAGCTGAAAGATCTATGCACAAATATATGAGAGAATGGACTTCTGTATGTCAGATTTCAGAAAACTAACTATTCTGCATGGGTTACCCAAAATGAATATTCCTATTGATATTTTATGTAAAATATTTAAAATGTATAAAACACGATAAACACCAAAATGATTAATTTACTTCAATTTAAAATAATTTAATTATTAGTTTAATTAATTTCCCACAAAATATAGGAAAAAATAATAAATATTTTAACACTCTGAATATTCCCTAGTGCTGGGCTTTCAGAAAGGCACAGATGACTTCACATAGAAAAAGTAAATTCAAGCTGTGTCGGTTTTCCTATCCCAATTACAATGAAGGGCAATGAGGTGAGGAATAGAGATTTACATTGCAGAGAGGCAACTCCGTGAATTACTATTTGAAAACACTTAAGTGATCTATCAGTACTACTCCCTCCACATTAGCCTAGGAAATAGTAGCCCCTAGAGGTAAAATATTTAAGTATCATTTGCAGAACTTCCTTGTTTCTCAATGATAACTCCTACATGGGATCACGTTTGTTTTACTTGTAAAGCACATTTCATGACTGTGTAGTTTGAATGTTTTAAAATATTGCCATTGAGATATAGTATCTTACTTTTTAATCTCCTAGATAAAGCTCTGCTACTTTTTGACATGATACCCATATGTTTCAAATACCATTGTCTTTATATAAAGCCTTCAGTTAAGGTACAAATACTGTATGTTTTACCTTTTTATTAAATGAGTTGCTTCTCTTCAGCCTTATAATGCCTTCTTTGCTGCAGTAAAATGGATAATGACTGAACTTGTCGTGTAAGTAAATTTTGTCAAGAATTTAAAGAATATTTATACTTTTTTGTCCTACATACTGAATTATTTTAAAAAAATGTTATTAATTCACTAACATTTTTCTTTACTATTAAATCTCTGGTGTAAAAGTCTTAGAAAATATATAATATAGGAATGTATAATTGCAACTTTTAATAAGTTATTCATGGTTGTCACTTATATCCTTATGTCTTTGCTTAGCAGTCTAGCAGCTTGCAATACGCAAACCAAATTTATTATTGTGGTTACTGTTAAATTTAACATGAATGTCTGGCTGTTTTTAGTGCTGCTTGGGTGGGCTGTAGTCAATAGAACAAACTGTCTTAGTGATTCATTGTGTTATTTCGTGATTTCGTAAAGTATTCTATAAGTTGGACCCTTTAAAACTTATGCCAGATCAAGGTGTGCTTGTCACATGTTATTTAATTGTTGACTTTATCTAATCCCCACAATGTTTTAAATGAACATAGATGATGCATTAGTGGGCATGGACTTTTGAAAGAAATTGGACCTAGTGCCTAAAAAAACACATGGAAGAATCACACAAAAGGAAGAAGAGCTTTAAAAAAATCTATTTTGTGTTATTATGGAAACAAATCACTTAGAATATTCTAAGATGTGTGTTTTATTATTGTACTTTTCAGACAGCTCAATTGCAGGCTTAAATGTAATCTCTCCATAAATAGGAAGCAATCTTTTCTTGTAACTATTTTGTTTTAATTGAAAAGTATTATGAGCTTTTGAAAAGACAGTTTGATGTGTGATCTTGGAAACTGTAATTAATTGTCCGTTAACAGTCTGCAAAATTGAAATACATCTCTCAAAGTAAATATCAGAAAAAAATCATATTACAAATGAGATTTTCTTGCTGGTTGTAACAACATCAAAAATTGCAAGAAACCCACTTCTCCTCTTCTGAATTTGAAAATTTGTAGTCTCTTGTCATTAAGGTTAACTTTGCATGTTGGTTTCACATTAATTATATTCATAATAAAAGCTTGATACATTTCAGTTGACTTTTTTAATAGTAAACCTACAGCATATTTTCATGGGCTAATGTATTTTCTTGATAGATAGATAGACCAAAAAACAAAACAAAACTAGTTAGCCACTGGTTAATCAAGTCTGTTCTCCGACTAGAAGTAAAATAATATTTTATTATTTAAGATCCTGGAATAAGCATAAGAAAGTATTTTATTTGTATTTCTGTATCATGGCCAGGAAAGTTCTAACCATATGGCTTTTTACTAGAGAATCAAAATATTCTGTATGATGAAGAATAACTATAAATAATGGTCAACTGTAAAATTGCTGTGGGCTGCCATGCACTGGGAATTTTAATGAGCTTTCTCATGTAAAAGCTCTTGATTATAAAATGATGTAGCTACAATATCTTGATAGTGTTAATTTCAGAATAACTTTTCACTGGCAAGAGAAAGCCTAGTGAAAATATAACAATAGCAAAAGATAACTCAGGAGTTATGCCAGCAGCTTGAACATCAGTTTCTTGTTTGCTTTTATTTGAAATGGGGTGAATGGTATCACCGTACTGACAGTTTAAAGATGGAACACAGAGCTAATATTTTGAAAATGTTCTATGTAATAATATGAGACATTTTGATCATTTCTTTAGGTTCTTGGTGGAATTTAATTTGTGCAGTTGGTGGCACTCAGATTTAACAGCAAAAGGTAAGTGTAAATTGTGCTTATGCTCCTAATGAAAAACATTCTAGATTTAATGGCACTTTTAATATTAAAATATACATTGTGTTTTATTTACTATATTAATATTATTAATGGTATATTTTTGTCTGTCATAATATTATATTCTCTTTCAGCCTTTATTATGATAGTTTAGGACTTAGTTATTTTACATATATCTGTGTGTGTGCTTATGTGTATTTTTAATACTGCAGTGAAATTACAATGTATTAGCATAAAAGCAGAACTTAAAATGCATGTGACATATAAATAATATTAAGGATCATTTTGTGAAGGTGATTTTTAAGAAAAAACAGAATACAATAAAACAAGATGAATTTTTCCTGTTCCAATATTTTTTTCTTTTCTAAATTAAAAACAAAAAAATCTTCCTGCTTAAAGCATCATCATTAGTCTCATTCTGTTTATAGCACATATTGTATAGAGCTGGTCAAAAAAATTCTGATGAAATGTATTTTCTATTGGAAAATGCTGTTTCATCAAAATCAAAACATGCTGTGAGAATGTGTCAATTTAACAATTTCATTTAGGAAAAAAACTCGAAAAATTTTTTTTTTTTTAATACGGTCTAAATATTCCATTTTGACCTTGTCAGAACAGAGCGCTTTGATTTTTTGTTGTTTCAAAATGACTTTATTTTAAAATTTATTTTATTTTATAGTCTATTAACACTTTTATAGTCTATTATAATTTATAACAAAGTTGAAACTGGAACAAAACGTTTGGATTTTATGGAATCAGATTAAAAAAAAAAAAAAGTCAACATTTTTGTTTCATGGGAACTTGCCATTTATTTTGTTCTGATTTGGAATGAAAACAAATTTCAGAATGTCAGAATTTCCTGCAGAATGAAAATTCCAAGTTTTGATCAGCTGTTTTATATATATATATATATATATTAATCCTTTTTGATACTTCGGAATTGCTGTATGATAATTAGTAAGGATAGTGCTATTAAACTGTTTATTACAGTAGGTATCTTAAAAATTTGTCATTTGCCACTATAACAATTAAAACATTCTCCATTTCAAGGCCCAGATCCTGAGTTGCTGATAGCACAGTTTAGGAGCAAGGGGTGCACATGTAACCTTTAATTCACCTTTTGCATTCCTTTGATCCTGGATGGATTCTGTTGCCTCCTCCTCCACATACCCAGGAGCCTAGTAGTTCAGGCACTCTCCTAGGACGGGGGAAGACATGGGTTCAGTTCCCTTCTCTGGAGCAGGGATTCAGTCTTCCCAGGTGAGTGCCCTTACCACCAGACTATAGTGTATTCTGTGGTGGATCTCTCTCAATCTCACCTATTGAAGCTGTTCCACTTTGTATAAATAATTAAATGGTCATTAGCCCAGGAACTTGATCTTGGATCTCCATCCTCCTAGCTGGGTGGCCTAATTACCAGACAGTAGAGCTTTGTTCTCTCTGGCCCAATCACGTATTTTATAAGAAATTGAACAGCTTCAGCGTGTGACACTGGGAGACCCAGAATACCCTAAAGCTTGGTGGTAAGGTGCCATCCTGGAAGGGGGGAAGAGTTCAAGTACTAGCTCTGGAGCAGGGATTCAAACCTGGGTCTCAAACATCCCAAGTGAGTGCCCTAACCATTGGTGTTAAGGATACCACCATCCCCTGCTCTGGTTTTGTTAATCTAGCTCTTTGCTTTTATTTTAAAAAAGGCTTAAAATGCTCAGAAACCAAATGTTTCTTTTGTCCCAAAACAAAATTTGTGTCTGTTTGTTTTTTGATTTACCAAAAAGTCTGAATTTTCATTTTTGGTTTGGGTTGAACTGATTTTCCCCCCCATTTTTCTGGAACTTCCAGAAAACCAAAAAATCAATTATTTGCCCACCTCTAGTCCTGATGCAGCCTATCCAAATGGTGCATGCATCACATTTGAAGAGATGACTTTATAATTAGTACCTCCCTTTGTTAAATGTCTATGTAAGTAAATGCCTGCTTTGGTTTGTAGGTATGTTCTAGCTACCAAACACCACTAATAATATTAACTTGCAATTTTCTTTTTTCCCCTAAAACCAAAAGTTTACCATTACTTTACTGAATAAATACAGTATGAATGAGGGACATCCATTCATGTTTTAGCTAAAAATGTTGCATGTTATTATACACTTCACCTGCTCCATTTCCTTAATGAATAGGAGTATAGAAAGTACCCACTCATCCTGCTTATTGAAAAGCTATCATTTTTATCTAACTAGCTTACCTAATTAGAATTTGGTGGTCTGGCAGTCATTTGGAAATTGGCTTGCATTACCCAAGATAAATGAAAGAAAAAGTATTCTGAAAAGCAAATGTTGAGGTATGTTCTTATTCAGATGCCACAGCATTGCTCCCATTAGTACTATTGAGAGTTACAGTGATCATGAATATACCTCACTAAATTGAAACCAAAGAACTCATGCAGTAGCAACAAATTCCTTTGCCTTTCTTAACAATGCCTCATAGATCATAGTGATTTTCAGTCCCTCTGAGGGTAAAATTCCTTGCTGCCCAAAATATGACAAGTATATTTTGTGCATTATTATTGATACCAAACCTGCTCCAATCACCTGCCAGCTCATCAACTTCATGGTAGGAGAAATATTTCTACCTGCAGCATGGAGCCCCATAACCTCTCTGACACTTGTGAATTAAAGACGGGAGATGGCTTCCTAAACCTTGGGCCCCTCAATTAAGGAACCAGAGAAATCTGAAACTTTCCAATCCCTGGCAGCCTCTTCGTAACCTAGGTCTGTTGATACATGAGGGAGTAGGGCTCCAGAATCATAGGTGGGGATCACACCAACCACTCTCGGGCAGCAGGTATTCACCACCCCAAATGGAGAGAACAGGAAGGAAAGGGAGGATGGTGCAGATCCTTGCCAGTTAACCTCATCTAGGTGGCCAGACCCCATAAAGTGGTCCCTGACAGAGGCAGGACCCTACAATGTCAGGTGATTCCCCCACTCCTCTAGTTTTCATGCCTTTGATTATAAAGATTTTTTCCATCATAAATTCCTGACTAGTGTAAAATGAATTTAATTTTCAAATCTACTTAATTATTTAAATATAAATCTTACTCATGAAGCATGATGCACAGGTTTCTGTGGATCAGATATTTCCCACTCTGTAAAACAGTGTCAGATTACTTCCATAGATGCAAGACACAGAGGCCTGGTCTACATTCCAAAATTAAGTTGACCTAAGTTAGGTTGAGGTACAGCCCCGCAATCATTATTGCGGTTTCTCATGTCCACACTAGCTCCTTCTGTCAGTGGAACGTGTCCTCACCTGGAGCGCTTTCACCGACTGAAGTGGGGCACTGACAGCCAGAGCCTCCCCATCCCAGAGTTGACAGCTGGAGACCCCCTCACCTCCGCCCCGGTGCCAGGAGCCCTGGTGCCAGGAGCCCTGGTGCCAGGGCTGGCAGCCCTTACTGCCGCCACCTCCCGGTAAGGGATTGGGGGAGGGGAGGGGAGGAGAGCCTGAACCTTGCCGCCTCCCAGTGAGGGATTCCCCCCCCCAACGTAATGCCTTGCCAGGAGGCAGCCAGCCTTGGGCTCTCTTCCCCCCCAAAAAAATCCCTCATCAACAGGTGATGTAACACAAACACTGCATCGCCTGAACTACACCCACTTAAGTGCTACGCCTCTCCTGGAGTTGGGGTTATTAGATTGATGTAGTGGGCGACTTACATGAGTGGGAGGATCATTGTAGTGTAGACACTTACATAGTTAGGTTGACGTAAGCTCATAGGTGCTGGAACTGGAACTGCTGCTACACCCCCAGGGTTGAAGTTGTTTCCATTATACACAGAGTTTACAGTTTGATTCATTAACTCTCTGCACCCCCACTATAAAAATTCTTCCAGCACCCCTGTGTAAGCTGCCTTACAATCGACCTAACTCTGTAGTGTAGACCAGGCCAGAGGTCAACTTTTCAAAAGCACAACATGACTTAGGAGCCTAAGTACCGTTTTCAAAAGTGCCTGTATAAAAAAGGATGCGACATATCATATTAATCTCCCCCTCTCCCTGTCTTCTCATCTCCCTCCAACAATACCCTGCCTAAGTTTGATGCACATGAGAAAATTTGTTTTTGTTTGGCATGTAAAAAATATTATAGTTCAGAGAGATATATCCTACTCTCTCTTTGACTTACAAACCCAACTTTACAATAATTTCCTGACTGATCTGCAATAGGCTTACCATTGGCTCTAAAACAATCTTGAGTGGAGAAACTCTGGAGTCCATGAGCCTGTTCAGTGTAATCTATCTTTGCATAATTGATAGTCAGTTTTCCCACATAGCAATTAGTTGAAGATATGTCTAGAGGTTGTGTTTGCACACATAAGGAGTAAAATATGATCCAGTGAATAAGTCACTAGAGTGGCAGATAAGGAGACCTGCATTCCATTCTCAGCTCTATCACTGTTCTGTGGTTTGACTATGAGCAAGTCACATCACTGCTGTGTGCCTCAGTTTCCCCACCTGTAAAATGGGAATAGTGATACTTACCCCTCCCTCGTAAAGCACTTTGAGGGATCTGTGGATGAAAAGTGCTATGGAAAGTTAAGTATTATTATGTTATGGAAGGAAAAAGCCAGAGATAGAAGACACTCAAAAACTGAACATCACTTCTTGATGAGAGCATTTTATTTTTTTTGTCCCCTACGTCCTTTCTTTGTGAGTTCCAAGACAATGCAAAATCTCCAGGGTTACCCTCCACAGAAATGATATGTTGACTTCAGTTGAATGTACAGTGCCTTAATTGGGGTACTCCAACAAATACATTTAAATACAGTTATCAAGGAAAATTAGAAAGTAGATGTGTACACTTGAAAAGCAGCAGCTGGTTTCGCTTGAGCCTATCCATAGTGCGAAAACAAAATCTTATCCATAAATGAAAACTAGCTTGGCTAAGGGTAAATCACAAATAACTATGATACGGTTTATGTCTTACAAAATTACATCCCCCAGCTAAAAGGGTTTTGTTAATTAAAAAAAGCACTTTGCACTGCCTAGGAAATATCACAGGGTGGCAGAAGCTGAGTATCATTTCCATTCACTGTAAGCTGTTTGGTACAGTAGCTCGCATTGTTGAGAGTTTTTGTGTGCTTGTTCTTCCCAAGTAACATTAAGATATTTTTATATGCCTATAGCACAGAGATTGAAACAAACCCTAGAGCCTTGTGATACTGAATATCCAGCTTTTGTTTCTGAACGCACTATAAAGGAGACCACGGGAAACATTGCTTGTGATGACTGTTTCAAGTAAGCCCTTTCAATTTTTTATACAACGGTTTGTGACAAACCAGATAAACTGAGATTTTTAAGTTTATGTTGAAGGATATGCAGTTCTAGCTTTTACATTGTCTTGTCCATCAATGACTGGATGCCATTTCTCTTGGTAGTGTAGGGGTCATGTAACAGTTTAATGTTTTGAAATTAAAGCAAGGGATATTATACTGTACCCGAAAATGCTGGATAGGTCCAGGCTTCTAATGACTGAAGAAGTTCTTTGCAATGGTATAAGTTTTAGGTCAATGACTGGAGACCAGACTTGTGCACTATCCTAAAAAAGGGAGAATTATTTACTGATTTATATACAAATGAAAGGTTAAGGCAGTTAGTTGTCCTATAAGCAAAACAACAATTTAGGAATTCCACTGGCTTTTGGTGCAGTGGTATCTGGATGTTCTGTTTGACTCTCCAACACTCTCCCCATATTGGAGTTGTTAAGCTGAAAAGCATGGGAGAGCAGTAAAGATCTTTTCCCAAGCTTTAGTGCTGGGAAGCTGAGCTGACAATGGACAAGTCTGGCACACATTAGACATCCTTTGGTCGCTTGTACTATTTCTATAGTAGACTAGACCTTCCAAGGGTTAAAAGAAGTACTTCAAAGAAAATTAATTCGTCCCAACTTTCCCCCCAAAAAACTAATATTCTTGCTCATTGCATTTAGTGTCTCTCTAAATCGATGTAACTATAATAAGAAATGTCGCTTAACAGTATATTATAATTAGAATGTTGCTCAGTTACTGAATATAAATATAGTTTATGCAAATGATTATATAACTTTTATACTTAGTGATGGTGTCTGTTTTTTAATTTAACTTTCCCTATGCTGAGATATCGTTGTCACAAAACACAGTACTATTTGCAATAGTATCCTTTCTATCACAGAAATGCCAAGAAGAACTAGAGCAATCAAAATTCCTACTTTCTTTGATTTGTTTGGTTCAGAAAGAAATTGTTATAGCTTTCTTCCTCCATCGTAAGCCAATATGCAGTTAGTAACTAAGGGTGAAATCCTGGCCCAATTGAAGTTGATGTGTGTTGTAGGATTTCACTCTAAACTTCCATTTCAACCCATTTCAACACACGTGCTTTGTAATAACCTGAACATCTTTAAAAAAAAAAAGTGAGTGAGTGAATCCCTGGGATATAATTTATAAAGTGATAATTTGAAGGCACTTTAGTTACAATGAAAAAACTTCTGAATCTGAAAAATCTATCTTTCTTACTGTAAAGGGTGAAGCACACACAGCAATATGGCCAATGTTGTGTTGGAGCTAGTAAGTGAAATGTCAAAAGTGTTTGGTTCACACACTTATTGTGGGGGGTCAGCCAGATGGTATGCCAGAGACATCCACCCTTTAACATATTTAGAGACAAATTAATAACATGTCAGAAGCCTAAGAGATATTTTTAATTTTTATAAAGTACAAAAGATTGCAACATCACTCACTTTTACTGCAAAGGTGGAAATTGAAAGTCTCAGAACTTAATATTCTGTATTGATCTGAGAACAGACCACTTGGATCAAGACATATGATCTCATGCTGGAACCTGTAACCGGTGGGCTACACCTTTGTATTAAGGATGAGGACTTCTGCGAACCATATTGTAGAACTCGGGGGTGAGGGGTGCATTTTGGTCACCCCATAGCTTTTTGAGGACTTAAGACGTGCTGAAAATGAATATTCACTTCTAGTTCATTTCTGGTTATAATTTAGTTATAAGAAAACTATTGCAGTCACGTCAGAGCAACTCTTTTTATAAGGCTTTTGGTGACAGAAATAGTCTTAGTTTATAAATTAATCCTGCAGAACACTTTCATTGTAACAATCGGTCCTATTGCATGAAAAGTACAAAATCAAGCCATTATGTTTCCACATAGCAAACACCACATTGTTATATTGCTATATTTTGCTTGATGTCAACAATGTAGAATTAAAACAGTATTGCTTTATCATCATTGCTTAGAGGATTAGTGAGAGCACGCACAACAAATTATTTTATCACATACGTTTTGTTTAACATTGCAAAAAGGCTTGATTCCATTAGAAAGAGATTAATTTAACGGGACCAGATTTTCAGGCTGTGTAGGTAATTTCAGGGCAAAGGAAATAACTTTCAAAAAATAACATAATTCTGCAAAACTTGGACAGCAATGAGTTGGAAACTGAGTTTAGTGAAAATTATAGTATTTTAAAAATAATGTGCTAAGATGATTTTCATAGAAAAACATTTTATGTTCCACAGTGGAACAAAAAACAAAACAAAACAAAAAACCACCACAACCAAATCTATGTTAGTTACCAACTGTTCTCAAGGCACCCATTATTTTTCTCCACAAGCAAGGGCAAAACATAGAGAAATAATCCCGAAGAACTGTCAGATTCTCATGGGAACACTCTTCGTTATGCAGCTTACCCACTGACTGTCATCAACAATCTACAAAGTGCATCTAAGATTGTACTCTGCACTGGTTACCAAATGTTTTGCTATAACCCAAGCAGCTTTCCCACAGAATAGCTAAGGAATTTGACCCAGAGTCTTTTGTGGGCCTACATCTTATGACCCATTTTTCAGTTTCATGGCTTTAGTACAGTAAATATTTTTACAAGGAAGCATATTGCTCAATATTCTTAATTTAAGAGTGGTGTCTCATTTGCTCCAAGTAAGGGTCCAATATTACAGGGTGCTGCGTGCCCTCAACTTCCACTGCCTTCAATGGGACTTGAGGGTGTTCAGTGCTTCACGTGATTGGATGCTAAGGGTTTCAATACAGCTCCCACAGAGTCAGTAGGAGTCTTTCCATTGATTCTAATGTGAGATGGATCAGGCCATAAATGAGTATATTTATTTTACACATTGAGAGAGTATACATATAGAGCGGGGTGGCTACTGGAAAAAGGTATTTGCAAATATTCAGGTGAATATACATCACAAATTTACTCCCATGGTATTCCCAACTCCTTTGTTTAATCTTCACATGCATTCGTATGAACAATTTTTGCTTTCAAGAACATTAAGAGAAAGTGAAAATGTCATGGATATTTACGCAAGTATTCAATATGGCAATATTACAACTATTCCACTGCAAGAAGGTTTGTACCACAAGTGACTCATTCAAGCCTTTCTCCGGTTTTATAAAAGTTTTGGTCAACCAGTTAGTGAAATGAAGCAATATTATTTGACTTACAAAAACAATCACTCAGCACAAATATTGATTGTGAATAGAGCATACACAAAGCAAGAATCCTGCATGATTTAACTTGATCTCAACTCTTATTGACTCACAAGGGACCTCAGGACCTTGCATGATTGAGTCCAATTTCAAGGCTGTAATTTGTTTGCATAACATTTTCAAATAAATTTGAATATTAGGTACATGAATTAAAATCAAAGTGCTGGTGAATAAATCACAACTATTATAAAGGACTTCATCAAATATATAAATTGTTCACTCATAAATAACTCAACTAACTCTATGGGCTTCTTTGAAAGTCCATTTAAGTCAATGGAAAGATGCCTATTGACTTCCATAGGATTTGGATCAGGCGCTAAATGTGTGCATATGTATATAATATAATCTTGTATGTGTAAACTTGCTATAAAGAAAGAAATAGTTCTTCAGGACAATTTGCAGTGTTTAAAATGTTTTTTAAAATATAGGTTTTATTAAGAAAGTAGGAGCCTAAAAGAAAACAAGAATTAACATAAGAATGTCATTAGGGTCAGGGTTTGGCTGCCTCAACCAATAATTTTTTGTCATTCAATATCCCACTGATTATTAAATTAATCTGTTATTGTAACAGCAATCAAAAACAAGTCAGACCATATTTTTGGGCATTTGAGATTGTCAACAAGAGTACAAAACTGAATGTTTTTTTTTTACATGAAACGTTTTCATATTTTCCAGTAAGCTATTTCTTTCTTGTACACACACACAGTGTTGTGTTTTAAACTCAAATGACCGACTGTTAAATGTTCCACTGAATAAGAAGCAGCTGCAGTATTGGAAATAGTCAGTTGCTTAAAAGAGATAATGATTTATCAGTGGTAAGCAGCACTCTTCCCTCTGAGTCAGTACTGCACAGTTCCCAAAGACCTCAGCGTGGTTTTTAAGGGACACTATGCTGTTTGGAGGTGATGTCTTTTAGATTAGACATTTAGATCCAGGGTTTACTAAGTAATTCACACCCTATTCACAAATATAGGGTGTTACCCCAATCACTTAACCAAATTCTAATGCAGGTAATTCTGTCCACCTAAATTCTACATCAGTTTCAGTTGACTACAATATTAGTTTCTGGCTTCTGCTATGGTCTTTACCTACCTCACATGGGGATTGTGAGGCTTAATTAATGTTTATAAAGCGCTTTGAACTACTTGGATGAAAGGTCTCTTAGAAGTGCAAAGTGTTTATTATTATAACTTAGCGAGGAAGATAACATTTACGGTGCCAGAATTTGATAAACATGCCAGTATTAAACCTTTGCAGTATATCCCTGCTGATAAAATGTTCCTTTCTAATCTAATTATTTTTTCTACAGTTGTAAGCATTTTGTATTAAAATTCTGCTAATTTTGTTAGCTTCACTTAGAGATATACTATTCATTTTGGTATAAATTCAGGGACTTATGAACAGGGAGAGATCTCCTCTTCTAGTATGTCTAGCAAATACCTCCTCTGCTTTTTACCTAGGTAGTAGATTTATGCCTTGTATTTTCAAAATTGCATGCATGCAGTTACTGTTAGTGAGTAGACAAATGGAACCATTTGAATGCATAGCTACCAAATTTGCACATGCAATTGTGGTAAATTGTGCGTGCAAATTAGGCAGCAGTCACATGCATGCTAATTTGAAAAACAGGACCTTTTCCTACTTTGTTCAGGTACAGTAATGACACACTGGACTTGGCTACAAGTCAAGGAGCCGGGCCTGCTCCTATTGACTTGAAAGGCAGAACTCCCATCAGTTT